ATTTCAAATTGATACATAAGGAATTCACTTATCACACATTTAATTTGAACAGAGGTGAGAAAAGAAGACTTATATAGTCAGCAGAGAAACTCATCTATTTCTTTATATCATATACAGTATATATGCTATCAAAATCAGTTGATAACTGTTGCTATATAACAAAGATAATTTCTAATTCAGTAATCTTCAGAGCATCAGAACTATGTTCTTAAAGAGAAGAATATTATCACATTCTCAGCTGTGTCAAGACTCTGTTACAGTTTCACATAACTCATTACTTTTATACAGATGATTTCATTTATTCTGCAGACTATTCAAACTGATTTTCAATCACTCTATGACATTATTCAGATATAATATAGAAAGATCTGATTAATGAATATGAGAATCTCACTTCTATATGAGATTAGCAGATTACTCTTTCAGAATAGTGAGATGTCACTAAGATATCACTCAGGCTATTCTCACTTATAGAATAGAACAGAGGTATCTGCTCATTGTCTATATAGAATAGTTAGATGCTGGCTCTCTATTAAAGAAGTCAGCGATTCATTTTTCTACAACTGGAATATATATAAGAGTTACTGCATTTCTTATACAATCTTCTTAGTATACTAAGTATTATATCTGTGATATTCTTGCAATAACCCTGTAGCTTACGAGCTCGTTATTTAAGCAAGATAGTTCAGCTCACTCATACAGCTTCTCAAACAACTATCTCTACATGATGCTGCTGACTAGTCACTGCTTTAATTCCGTCACATTACAATAACAAAATTATATTACAGATGAAGATATAAGTTAAATTTTATAACTTTAAGTTCTTACAAATAAGTATAAAGTGTATCATCTTAATAAAGTAATCTATCATTATTAACACACTGTTAAAGAGAATATTGTACATGTTCTTACTTTCAGAGAGACTTATAAGAGTATTTATTTCTAGCTGTTCTGAAAGTTTCTGTGAGATAAGTAGAGAAGTAAATTCTTCATATAATCTTAACTGTATTACTCACACACTCTGATAAATAATATAAGAATTCACTATCTTCTTCACAAGCTCTCATATCTTTGATTAGAAGTATTTTCTTATAAGCAACTTATAAGTTCTAGTATCTGTAAAATAACTCACTAGAGAAAAGTGATAATATCTTTTAATAAGTTCTATATTTAGAAACTTATTCATAGATATATAAATTCAGCTCTCTCTTTATAAGAGATTATTTAAGTCTCTTCAACTCTTTATTTCTGCAGAATTGATCTCTGTTATAAGCAGTTTTTAAATATACTGAGTATATTAATTCTTTAATTACAATTCTGATAATCTGAATAGAAGATCTTATAAAGACTTATACTCTATATTCTCTTATATCAGGTCTTCTGCAGCACTTCTCAAAGTCTGTAAATTCTTTAGATTATAGATACTTTCTCTGAGAATTGTCACAGAGATTCTCAGAGTATTAAGTTTAAGTGTTATAGAGAGAAGTTATACAGGCTTTTTTTCTCTCTTCTCTCTCTTCTTTTATAAGAGATTGAGAGACTCTTCAGTTAATCTCTTCATAATACTCAGTCTGAGTATTCTGTAAATCTTTTCTATCTTTGCTAGTCTCTCTGTATTTATCACTCTGATCTTCTTAATGTAGTCAGATCTGTGAAAGAGTTTATTCACTGAATTCTTAATTTCTTTAATATACTTTATCCTGAATCAGAACTTACTCAGTTTCTAAGATGAGTAGATCTACTACTGTGAGATTATCTTGACTAAAGTAAACTATTATAAGCTATTATAATCAGTTCTAACAGTAATTATTATAATAAGACTCTTAAAGTAGTGATATTAGTAATAGAAGAATTTCACTATTATGAAAGATTTCTGATTATAAATGATATAATTGATCTTGAGTTGCATCTTTCATAAGAAAAAAGTCACTGAAACTCAGCTCTCATTTAACTATATTTATAACACTATTTCTGAAATTATAAAGTAAGAGATATCTGTCTTCAATTTAATTAAGAGTAAGAGATTAAAGTGAAACAGTATTACTGTATCTATAAATATCTGTTTTAATTTTACAAAGACTCTGTAAGCTTATGAAATAAAAAAGTTCTTATAGCTCTCTCTTCTCAAAAATCTTTTTATTCTTTATTTATAGAATGATTTCTTCTTCTTTTCACTTCTTAGCATGTTTTTAAGAGTTAAGATGATTCATATAAATACAAAGATAAATTACTTATAAAAATTGATAAAACTTAGAAAGAGCTGAATTTTATAAATACTAGTTAACTTCAATTATAATAGAATAGTCTTAACTCATGAAAGTTTTTTCTGAATAATATTAACAGTGATTATATATTCTAGGAAATTAATTCAGCAGATACTTAAGTTATACTTTATAAGCTTAATATACAGTTCTGTCTCATTCAAGATCTTTAATATAGTTTATATATACTCTGTGTATTCTTTCTTTTATACAGAGTATATCATCACATCATTCAGATATATTATTATAAAGAAATTCAGATATGAATAAAGTATTTTATTAATTAAAGACTGAAATATGACAGAGATATTAGTTAAATTCAAAAACATTAGTAAGTATTCAAATAATATCAGTATAGTTGTAAAGACAGTTTTTCATTTATCTTCAGACTATATTTACAGATATGTATATATATTAATTATATTCAGTTATATGAATATGACAGATTTTATAGAACAGTTAATCACATTCTTAATCAGAGATAGAGAATAGTGACTCTTTATAGTCTTGAAGTTCAGATTACAGTAGTTTATATATAATCTGTAATCTTTATTCTTCTTCTTTATAAATATCACAGAGACTTCTGTGAAGATCTGTGAAGATCAGATAAAGTCATTCTTCAGATTCTTCTTAATATAAGTCTGCAGAG